AAACCCTAATGCTCCCAGATCTCCCGGGGCGTGGATGACTGGATGACGCGGCAGGTGAACGCCTCGGCAGTGTGGCAGCGGCTTTAAGCTTAGGGTTTAGGGTTTAGGGTTTAGGGTTTAGAGTTTAGGAAGCTTGGGTGCCTTTTGCGCTGATAGGAGTTTTGCACTGTGGGGGTGGGGGGTTTTCGCAGAAGTAGCTCTTGGCCTTTCAGGTTGGTTCGGCTTTTTTCGTTCTCCGGTCATGGCGTCATCAGAGGTTCAGTTTGTTCTAGAGTCCTTTTACATGATTCAGCGCAACAGCCGGTTGCGGTAGACGTTCGTGATGGCGAGGTCATGCTGCTAGCGCATCTCTTCGGCGTGGACCCTTCCATCTCCGAGGTCAGCAGCCAGGAACTCGGTCCAGTGTTTGGAATCCAGGGTTTTTTTCAGGTTTTCGGGTTGCGGAGCGTAGGGAGGATGCGTCTTGAGCACGAGGGTGCGGACCAAGACACCCCGGTCATGCGATTCCTTTTTCTATGCGTGGCGCACATGGTTGCGGCTCTCGGAAGCCTGGATCTTTACAGCCAACCGGACGTCTCTCTGTTTTCGTCATGTTCGTCTGCTGCGAAGGCAGTGAGATTTGCTTTCTTCGGGTTCAGTGTGTCTCGCTGGCTCAGCAACGCCCTGCAGTAGAAATCATCGACGTAGCGACTCTCTCAGTTCGCGAGGTTTCTCCGAATTCCTCGAGCAGCACGGCACAGCAGGTGCATTCTCTTGTTGTGAAAGGCTGCTGGAGCTGTTGGAAACAGGGTTTTGAAAGCGGATGGACTCTCAGAGGGTTGAGGATTTACCTTTTAATTCAGAGTCCAGAGAGTAGGCTGAGGACTTCATGGGAGAGCCCCGTCTCTGGTAGAGATTTGGAGGTTCCAACTTCGGCCGCTGAATAGCCTAAACCCTAATCCCTAGACCCTGAATCCTTCCAGAGTCGAGGTGCCTGGCAGCCTCTCGACTGTCCTTATGGCTTTCTCCTCTTGGCAGCTTGGACGAGATGCAGCAGCCGTTCGATTCCGACTTCGGAGCATGTAGATGGCAGACTACATCGTGTTCTGCTAGAGAGCTCGCGTTAGGCAGCAGCCTAGCGGCCTCCAGCGTTCCAGCTTGACTCCCAATCCCAAGCCGATGCACCAATTTCTGAAGCCTCCCACAGAGTTTCGCTCCTCTGGCTTGAGCCTCTGTACACTGCTTCCCGAGAGGAGTATGCTATCTTGACTGGTTTCCAGCTGATGGGTCAAGACGACCTGCGGGATCAGGCGAAAACGCCAGACGCAGAGACAGCGAGATATATGGGGATAGTGAAGTTGTCTGTGCTCCACGAAAAAGACATGTGTCAAGTCTTGCAGTTGCATGTCGATGGGCCGCATTGGTTTTAGCAGCAGGTGCAGTGGCATGACAGTTCGGTATTCATGCAGCCACGGTCGAACAGCTTCAACAGATGTTCGGTGCAGGCCACCAGCGCCATTGCCGCCAGCATCGAGGTTCTCTTGCATGCACCCTACTACACCTATGTCACCGGGTGGCAAATTCTCTTGATGTCAGAAGTCTTGAGATTCTTGGAGTGTTTCGGTCTCTTTTCGGCTCTTTGATCCTGGTCTTGGTATCAGTGTCATGTATCAGCCATATCAGCTTGCAACAGTTCGATAGTTCACGGGACTTTCACGTCGATGGCACTGTGGCCCGGAGTCTGACCTAAACCCTAAACCCTAAACCCTAAACCCCAAACCCTAAACCTTAAACCTCAGGACTTTCTGGAGAGCTCCCTGTGGAACATCTCCCTCTACGACATGGCCGTGCTCCGCCTCCAAAAGACTCGAGTTTGCTTTAGCTTCGGGTGAGGGTTTAGGGTTTAGGGTTTAGGGTTTAGGGTTTAGGGGAGAATAATTCGTGGCAACTACGAGTTGCTGTATAGCCATATCCTCCGGGTGAGAGGCGTCCCCTTTTCTCCAAAAGCTCAGGTCAATTTGGACCAGCCGCACCACTACACCTCCTTCGAAGACTACGTGGTGAGCCCTTCATGTTGCACGTAGGGCAGTGCAGAGCGCATCGTATCACCAGGACACCCTCAACCTGAACCCCTAAGCCCCTCAGCCCGAACTCATCAGAATGCCTTGGGGTGAATCGCGCCGACCTTTCGACTCAAAGGCCAAATGAGTCCCCGAATGCCACGGAGCCTGCCTGTTGTCCGCCCAACCCAAGCTGCGAGCCGCAGCCTAAACCCTAAACCCTAAACCCTAAACCCTAAACCCTAAACCTAAACCTTAAACTTAAACCCTAAACCCTAAACCCCTAACCCCCTATTGAACCGACTCCGACCGACCTTTGGAAGCTCTCGGAGCCAGGCGCGGCGCCCCCTCCCGCCTCCGCGGCTTTGGCCGTGGCACGCGGAGGGTCATTCGACGCGGCCGACTGGCGAGGCCGCATTTGTCGAGGTACTTCTTGTGGGTGGTGTGCGTTATTTTTGATGGGCTTCGGGGAAGTCTTCTTGTATGCAGTTGGTGGTTTGGGTTTAGTGCACAGGTTTTGGGCTTTCGGCTTGGGGAGGTGTTGATTTGTAGTTCGAGGTTGAGCAGGTTCGGCGTGTTTGATGCTTTGCCGAACCTGAACACACAAAACACTGTAAACATCCCAACCCTAAACCTTAAACCCTCTGAAACCTTTAACCCCTGACTAAGCCACCCCCTAGATCCCTTAAGCCCTTAAAACCCTAAACCCT